CCCCGGTCGTCGGATGCGGCTGCCTCTCGCCCCAAATTACCAATACAAAAGTGATCCGTTCCTCCAGGCGTGTTTGTATCTCTCTTTCCAATTTAAAAAAACATAAAGAAAAGGAGATGGGCTCTTTCGACAGGTAGGCCCTGTCCTGTCTTCCCTGTTGAAGTTACTCTGCACCGGGGCTGTGCGTTAATACCGGCGAATTCCGTCCTCCATCGATTTCTCTTCCCTGGACGTTTCAAAGAGCTGCACCAACTCCTCTCACAGCCATCGCCCTGGTCTTTCTCGGCATGCTTGATAACATCGACATGAGGTCCAGATAGCTCCAGTCGGGGACTAGACCCACTCTGCGACCCGAGTCCAATCCGGATCCAGCAAAGGTAGCTGCATCAACGCCCGGAGCCAGACACGCATGATTATCCCATCCTGGCTTCCAGCAGCTACACGACCATCCACTCCCACCTCTAGTGCATGTGCACATGTGCACGCGCACGCGCTTGAGAGAGTGTGTATAGTGGGCGGTATGAGAAGGGAGAGCTGAAAACTGCCTTTATGGCCTATAGGCGGCTCATTATTTATAGTGGATACCCGCAGATCAAGAATGGCACTCTTCAAGATGATTTATCCTCGATTTGCTCCAGAGGCGTAACCGCCTTTAACTCAACTCAACTTTATCTGTATAGCATTCACTTCCATCCTTGGGGTAACTCAAGGTGCTGCACATACAGGACACACAAAAGAGAGAAGAAAATTATGATAAGCCATAAAAAATCAAAACAACTTTACATACAGGACAGAGAGAAAAAATGAACATCAAGCAGTAAAAACTGAGAAACACTCATTCAAAGGCATGTGTAAACAGCAGTGTTTTGAATTTAGATTTAAGTAGAATTACCGCTTTGCTGTTGTATGCCTCCGCCAACCAGTCAAATTCATGGGTATGGGACAGGAGTGAGGCCACAGAGACCTTGACATTTGACCAAATCCAATCAGTTTATCACTGAATCCAAGTGGACATTCCTCAAGGGGTTCCTGAGATATCATATTCACAAGAATGGGCTGTACAGACAGACAACCCAAAAGCATAATACCTCTCTCTGGCTGTGGTTATCACCGGCGCAGAGGCATAAAAAGTGTTACAGTGTCCGCAGACATTATTACCTCTGGAAGCTGGTTCCATCTCTGGGCTATGTAGTGACTGAAGACATCCAATTTGAGCCAATTTAAAACAGTCCCACCCAATTTTCCAGTCTCTCCAGGAGAATATCATGGTCTAGTGTCAAAAGCAGCACTGACATCACGTAAAACAAGGACTCTTGCTTTACCAGAATCAGAGTGTATCTGTATGTCGTTTGCCACCTTTATCAGTGCCACTTCAGTGCTATGATGTTTCCTAAATCCTGATTGAAGTGTATCAAAAATACCATTTACATCCAAAAATTCATTGAGCTGAATAAAAACTGTTTTTTCAACGAGTTGTCCAATAAATGGTAGGTTTGAAATAGGCCTATAGTTGGTGGGCTTAACAAGAGCTGTTTTCAAAGAGCTAGGAAGGATCCCTGATAGAAGGGAACTGTTTACAATGTTTAATCATTTAGATTCCATGCACCTAAAACCTTTTAAAGAAAGTATGTTGGTAAAATGTCAAAACTACAAGTAGGTGAACTTAGTTTTGCATGTTTAATGTTTTATTCTCAGATAAAAATAAAACAAAATTTACACTCTAAACCAAGCTGTTTAAATATATAATCCATGTCTTTAAATAAGCAGAGGCAGGGGTGAAAATCCAGGCACCCCAAACTGGCACCGTCTATCTTCATTTTCCACCAAAACCTACAAAACGTCAACTATTAGACAACACTATTAGATATCAGTCCCTGAAACCTTACTTAGCTGTTTGGTGACTCTTTCTCCATAAAGATAAAGTGTACAATGTCAAATATGAATGTGACAAGTAAAAACCCATGTATGTACTTCTGTAATGTTACTGCAGCTTCCTGTGACCATTATTCAGACCAAATATCAAGATAAAATCTAGGTCAACAGACCCCAAATGTAACAAGTAGTCACACACATACCTAAAGTACTCAAACCAATCAGCCCCAGTAAACAATGTAACAAAAACAGTAAGTTAACAGATAAATGTGTTGTAATAATTTGAATTATCGCTACTTGAACAGTGATGCGTTGTTTCAGCACCATGAACAACAACATAATGTAGCTTGGTATAGCATTTACCAGCTGCTAAAGTGGAGTGTATGTTCTGAATCCATGTTAAAAAACACAGCATTTTGCATGCATATTGCACTAACTACTAAAATGGAAACACTATAACAAAAATACCAGCAAATGGGTTTCTTTATATTTGGTGGTACAGAATAATAAAAAAAATCTGCTGCTGTCACGAGGCACACTCAAATGTTAAGTCATGTTACGTTAAATGTTATGACCTTCCCCAGTGAAGAAGCCCAGCTCAATGGGCACCATTAAAGCAGACCCTAATTAAAAACTACAGGGGGCAAAGTCAGAGTTGTGTAAACATTTAATAGCTAGACGGCTTGAAACCTCAGCAATCACAATTATGTGTGTTGCTACAAATACAGTTGATTATGAGTTAACAGAATCTGTCAGCTATAAAAGTGGTCAGCCAGTCACTGGCACTTTGATGCATGGGTTTTGCACTTTGATGCACTGAACTATAAAATCCAAATTACTGCACAAACAAAAGAAAAGGGCCTAGAAGCTAATAAGGCCCCTTTTGTGGTAATGTTTGCAATATAATAAAATTCATATTTAAAGGGTCAATTCACCCAAATTACAAACAACATAACTTTCCACTTAGAGCTGTTTACTTCTTAAAATGTACATGATTTCAGTTTTATTTGTTTATATTTAAGGTAATCCGTCTCATATATTTCTCTACTTACCCTAATATGTTTTCTGATGCAATTTTATGTCTTGAGGCTATTTTTTCTCAGTGTGTCTGCTGTTTTTTTTTTTAATACATAGCAAACATGCTGGTTTTTGCTTCTCAGCCCACTCCTCCCCCACACCAGTTTCTCCAATTGTGTGGAGTCATCAGAAGGAGTTGGTGGTGAGTAGATTTTCTGTTGAAGAGAGTAGAAGGTGGAGTGATGCAATTTAAAAAAAAAAATCACAACTCTGCCTCCTACTTTGTCCTGATTCAGAGTCTGCAAACTAAAATGACTCATAACCTTCTGACGTGTTGTAGGCTAATTATCGCATTACTGGACAGATAGACATAGACTAATTGAGTGATTACTTCTATCCTCAGGGAACAGTGCATACTGGTACTAATCCACATAGACAAATACCTATTGTTTCAAACGTGCCAAAGTGTGTAGTAAAATAGTACTGGCGTATTAGTGGTATTGGTGTTATTTTCATTGAAAAACTGCATTACCTTCAAACCGATGTAATATTTCATCGCCTCTGTGGTTTGGCCCATTCCCCTTTCCGTACGTTTTGACGTACAGAACATACGTTTGCGGAAAATAAATTGTAAACAAATAGCTACGTCAATCACTATATTCTTCTTTTGAGTCAAAAGAATTAAGAAGCGAAACAAAGATATATCCCGTCGATCGCAGCAAAGGTAAGTACCAATCTATTAACTGTTGTCTTCAGTTGTTTACTATGTAGTGAGTGCTACAAACAGGAAGATATTATTTATATAATATTTAGCCTATAATGCTAGCTAGCTGCTAAAGCTGTCGAACTCAGTGCTAGCTAACAACTAACCTGACGCTGATACTGCTCCATTTGAGGTAACTATAGTTAGGTACTAGTACTAGTGACTGCGTCTTTGCTACTTGGCGCTAGTATTGATGACTAGTTTGGCTGTAAAGTTATACAATAAAGAAACTAGTCAGTATGTTATTTAGCTTCACTAATAACGTTCCAGGGAAAGGTGAGTCAACAAAGCACAGTTAATATTTCTTTCGTATCGGTCATATCACATTTTATCTAAAAAAATACCGATCCATAAAATGTTAAAGAAATTGACTGAAAGCTTTTTCTCCATTTATGATGGATGCAGTATTCACTTTGGTGAAGAACACATCAAACAACTCTTCACTAACATCTTAGTAATTACAGCTATAACGTTATAACTGTAACTTATTGTGCAGTTGCCGTGTTATTCAGAGTTCGCAGTCTGAATCAAACCCTGACTACACTGGAAAACGGCGTTGTGCAGTATTTTTCAAATGTAGAATTTGCCAGTATAGTACGTTTCACCACGCTCAGGGAGAATTGGTGCGATAATATTATCCAATAAACTTGAGGTCTATAATAATGTTATTGACCTGTGGCAGAGCTGATTGTATACATTGGCGCCAACCCATTGTTGGGCTAAGTTTAAAATATTGTCACTTTTGCCGAGTCCCATGAACCCAGCTTGCCTTTGTCATGATTACTTAACCAGCTGCAGGATAATTATGTCAAGAGGAGTCACCTGCATGCAGTGTTTAAAAAAAAAGCAGCTGTTTATAGCAGGGTGAGATGTTTAACTCTTGTGATTACAGTTTTAACAGAAGACGTGCTGTCTGAAATGACCGACTTTGGTACACTATGATTCTCTAAGAAAACTAGTGTATATATCTTTTGAAGTGTACTGAAAACATGTCATCCCCACACATCTGTTTCTCTGTCTTTTTAAATAGGTCCCAGATGTATGGCACTGTTGATGCAAGCACAGGCTCATTACCATAACAAGACATACTTTGGTGTTGTAGGCCCGCGAAAACGGCAAAAGCCATCATGTCTAGAAAACAGACGTCAAAGCCTGTGCGAAGTAATAAAAAGAGTGAACTGGAACGCAAGAAGGATGAGCGGGCAGCACGTCGGGCCATTGTAAAAGACCGCAAGAACCGGCCTCAGGATGCGGATGAAGGAGAAGAGTTTGTCAGTTTCTCTAATCAGCTCCAGGCACTGGGGCTCAAGCTGAGAGAAGTCCCCGGGGATGGGTAAGAGCCAGAAAAAGATTGTGGTGTCTAGCTGTGCTTTGCCTCTTTTTGAGTGGTCTTTTAGAATTACTGATACTGCAGCAGTTCTTTTTTTAAATATACAGAAATCTTAGAGTCAAGCTGCTGGCATGTATCTCACCTATTGTAACCAGGATGCACATAATGTCTCCAGCCTCTAAGTCAGGGGTGTCAAACTCAATGACACAGGAGGCCAAAACTCAAAGCACACTTTAGGTCGCGGGCCGAACAGGATAAACATTTATTGACCAGACTAAAACTAAACGTTTTTTGAACATAAATATGAATCGAAACAGACAGGATACAATATTATTCCAAAATAAATCAACTTAAAATCAGCAACCGTATTTCTGCTAAGGCTTACATTTGCAAACACCTGCTTTTTGTCTGGACACAAGACGTCGCACACTTTCATCATGCAGCTCTTCAGAAACCCTCCCTCGGTAAATGTCCAGGGCTGATTTTCTCTGCCGCACTAAAACTTGCTTTCACAGCAGCTTCACTGTGTGATTTCACTTTGGTGAAAACGTCTGCTGTGATGTCAGATTCCTCTTCAACTCCTCTACCTTCTCTACCTTCTGCTCTGCATTCACGTTTTTCAGCTTGTCCCGATGTTTTGTCTCGTAGTGCCGTTTTAGGTTATATTCCTTAATTACAGCCACATTAGCTCCACAAATAAGACACACGGGTTTACCGACAATGGCAGTAAACATATAATCAGCCTCCCACCGGTTTAGAAAGGCTCTGTTTTCAGAATCAACTTTTCTCTTGGCCATTGTTAGGGGCTAACTTTGACTTGAAATTAGGGTTGTAAACATCAACCGACGCTTGATTGATCGCAGGTAGCCTATCGTTCGGTAAGGCAGCTGTTGCACTGCATTATGGGATTTGTAGTTTGTGTGTTGTCGGTGCTTCATATCGCAGAGCCATTAAAAGATACATAAAATGATGTCGCGGGCCGGACATGACACATGTGCTCTAAATCCATTGTTCTTCAGGCCACAGTCAATAACAATGTACTAAACTAAACTGCAACATTTTTCTAGCTGCATGACAGCTGCAAAGTGAAGGCAAAGGTCACTACTGCCATAATTAGTCACTATTCATAATTCATGTTTCATGCTCAGCAGTATGTCTCAGAAGCGTGTGTTCTGCATGACCTAAGTCATTTTTATTGAATACAGAAATTTGCAAGCTGATGTCAAGTCTAACAAAGTCACCAGTGGAATATAAGCCTTCCATTTAAACATACTGTGAGCCTTGCCATGGAGAAACCTTCATTTTGGTTTTGCTTTCTGCAGAAATTGTCTGTTCAGAGCTCTGGCGGACCAGTTAGAGGGTCACTCTCGGGGTCATCTACGGCTTCGCCAGGAGACGGTCCAGTATATGATGTCTCATCGGCAAGACTTTGAGCCCTTTGTCGAGGACGATGTGCCTTTTGCACAGCACTGTAAGAAAGTGACTCAGTGGGTGACAGTGACTCATCACCAAATTAAATAAAATAACAGACTGTGAGCAGATTGGAGACTTTTACAAATCCCTCATTCACAGTAAACAATTCTGTTATGTTACTGTACATAGTAAGTCTATCGTTTTCAAAGAAAGACAGCTTTTAGAAGTAACTGCACTGACCCCTGGTGGTCATCACTTGTGCTTGCGGTGGAATGACAGCGAATGTAAGGCGATGAATAGGGTAAGAATGACATTAAAGCATATTTCTGCTACACAACTTATATTTATTGCCATTCTTAGCTTTTTTTTACTTGTGCATTTCTAGATACTTTTATGTCTTCAGGACTAAAAGTTTTGAAAAAGTAAATAAAACTTGGAGAAAAACTCATGCATTGGTTATACTGATATATGTGCCTGTTGATAAGGGGTTGCAAATAGACATCACTTTGCTTAGGCTGTCACAAGCCAACAAGATTGTGAAACAGCTGTTCTGTATGTGTTTGTCTTAACGTAACTCATAACAACTTGTATGTACAATGTATATAGTTAGTTTTAAAACAGCAGTTTAGGACAATGATGGTGTTTTAGATGATATGCTGTATATTCACTGTCACAAGCTGGAAAAAATGTTGCATTATCACAGCTTAGGTTAATTTTATACAAAAATATTTTTATTTTTTTCCAACTAGTGTCCAACCTCTCTCAGCCTGGTACATTTGCTGGCAATGATGCGATCGTGGCTTTTGCTCGCAGTCAGCAAGTGAAGGTGGTCATCCATCAGCTGAACACACCACTGTGGGAGGTAGGGACAGGCAAATACTTTAAAATGACCCCACCCTACTCTCTGATAACTAACGCCATTTTGGTACTCAGTTCAGTTTATATGATGTGTTTTCTCTGCAGATAAATGGGGCAGAGAAGCAGGTGTGCAGAGAGCTACACATTGCCTACCGCTATGGAGATCATTATGACAGTGTGAGGCGGACTGGAGACAACTCTGAGAGCCCTGCTCAGCTCCGTATAGAGGTATTTGGGCATTAGATGGACCGGCATTTATGTAGTTATCCTTTTCACCTTACAGTAGCACACCATAAACTCTTTTTATCTGTTGCATAGGAGCAAGTAATCAGTACTACAGACAAACACAATACAAATGTTTCAGTCCGCTGACCTTATATTATTTCTTAAAAAAAGGTCTGTGCACCACAGTGTCTATTGATATTTAGGTGAGTACAAGTGATGAGCAGTGTCTGGGATTTGTTTTGTTTCTGTCTGTAGTATATCTTACAATAGCTGAAATCATGTGCAAAATTCCAGGCTTGCCTGTCTAGAGTGCATCATGTTATATTTAAAAATCTGTGGGCTTATGTATTGTATCAGTAAACCTGTTGAGGCATCCTTCACTGGTGTGGTTGTAATGTTTTCTTGGCTTTACCATCACCAGAATCTTCAGAATTCGCGAGGTCAGCAGCGTGAGTTTGGGGATGGTCAGAGAGACCGACAGAAAAACACTTCCTCCACAGCCTCAGAGGAGGACAGTGTGATCCTGAGCTCCATTAAGAACCGAGGAATCCAGGGTCAGAGGTTATATTTGACTCATTAGCTGCAGCAAGAATTAGACTGTCGAGGCAACAGAGAACTAGGAATCAGGACTTTATAATCATTGAGTTCAAAGTTGTCTATTCTGCTGCATTTTCCATTTGTCATTTACATGTCAGCCTGCAATTACACCGTTCGCTCACTGTTATTTATTCATGTGTTTTATGTGTCTGTTTTCTGCCTTAGGAGATGAGGAGAACCTTCTTCAGCTGAGTGCTGCAACCATCAATGCTGAATGGCTAGTTGGCTCCGTGCTGGGCCAGTCCTGTCACGGCCAGTCTGCCTCAGGACCGTGCTCAGCCTGCAGAGCTCCAGCCTCTGACTGCTGTGAGCAGAAGCAGTCAGCAGAGAGCAGCAACGTACAAAAACCTAAGGTGGACTCAAAGGAAGCATTTTTCATTTGACACTTTTTTTTAATGTATAGAGTAGTAAATTTACTTTTTAACAGATATGAATAACAATGTAGGAAGATATATTTTAGGTTAAAACACATCTCAGGTGAAGTGGAATTACTAGCACATTTTCTAAACCTGTTATTTCCAGGTATCCAACAAGCAGAGGAAAGAGCAGCAGCGGTACGAGAAGAAGAAGCGTCAGGAGGAGAGGCATCGGCAGAAGGTTCTCCAGAGCAAAGGAAGTCAGGACCAGAACCAAAACCTGCCAGAGGCTGTTACTTTAGTTCCAGCTCTCAACACTCTCAGTATATAGACTGGAGCATGACCAAAATTACCTACTGCTACTTAAACTACCCGTGGCTGACGCTGCCCACAAAGTTTTGCACATAGTCAGATTTGTTTCAGTCACAGTGGATGACTTTTCCTAAAGAGAGAACCCTATAGTTTCTTTGCAAACTGTAAAACGGTGCCTGCAAACTTGTGTGTGTGAAATGTGTGAGAGTTGTAGAAGACAGAGGGTGAAAGAGCATGACTTTCAGTGTTTCTGTTGGGTTTTGATTCAGTTCAATCCCTGACTGGCGTGGGTGTATGTACAAACTCCTCGGACCTGGTCTACCTACTACGCTACCTATCTCCTTTCTGTGCTGGACATCTGGCTTTCCACAGCAACCATACAGATAATCTCATGCATCTGGGCTTCGTGATTTGCCACAGATCAAGATAATGTTTATTCAGATGTTCAGATCATTGTTCAGTCTGACCAAAGAAGGAAGTAAACAAGCAGATGAATGGTTGTTATACATACTGTGTAAGCAATGTGGCAATAAAAATTAACACATAATTTTCTGTTTGAGCACCAGAGAATATATTCCATATTATCCAAGGTTTGGTGTTTTTGTGACTTTGTTTTTCAAATATTAATGGTACATTAGTTCAAGTGGGTTCCTGCCATATATTTAATGTATCAATGACTGTCTGAAAGGGGTTGCTCTGAGTGATGAACCTACAGAGAATTATCACCTGAATCTGTAGCTCTCTCATTTTTATGAAGCCTTTTGGTGAGTTTCAGCTCAATGTTTAGCTAATTGTTCAACTCTAATGTTTCAGTTGCCATTCCAGCTGCAGCAGGCTGCTGTCTTTGGTGTCAAAGCTCAAAACAATCCACTTTACAAGACCTGCTCAGTAGCAGACAGACACAGTAGAGACTAGCTGGTAAAACAGTGGAGCATTTGGTGCTGAAGAGCTAGAGGATTTCCTCAGGAGTTGATCAAGATAAAAAAAAAATGCTACGAGTCAATGTTGGACTTCATGTTGACAGGCGACTGGAAACGCAGCATGAAAGGAATAGTAATGTTGCTCTTTTAACTGCTAGATACACAAATACAAATTGAGGGTTTAATAGATACATAACAAATCATGATCATGTCCTATAATACTTAATAAATCATGCATGCTTTGCCACTTTTTAAGTTGTTACACCACACCAGCTTTATCAAAATTGAAAAGAGAGCATGTGGACAGTATAAAACCAAAAACTGCCCAATCTATATTTGTCTGTCTTTCAATATACTGTCCTTTCATGCAGCAAAGAAACTGGCCTGTTGTATGAGGGTATAGTAAACTGAGCTCCATAACACTAGCCAGAGACAACAGATGTCATAGCAAATAGAATTCCATCCTTAAAAAAAAAAAAAAAGTACATTTCTACAAGTGAGCCAAATGCTAGTCAGGTTTATTAATTTGAGATATTCTCTAATTCACACAGGAGGTTTAAGAAATGTCCACTTTATTAAAATGAATGGAATACATGAATAGAAAACAAGGTGGGCTCACTGACAGCATTTTGTAGTTGACAGACCTAAACTATGTACACTTAAACACAGTGGAACATGGGCAGGCAGCTTCAGAGTGTGAAACCTATATACAGGTATAATGTACATTTTAAAGTGAGACTATGTAACTTTTGGTGAATGTTATGTGGCATTTATGGAATGACATTAAATGCTATTGGTATAACAGTTGCAAAAAAAGAAAATGATCTTAAAGCCAGCCCTCCGACTCATTAATGTCAGTTACACAACAATACGGTATATAAAGCCAGCTAACCTTTAGCCACTTAAAGCTACTGATGACACCAGACCAAGGCAGGCTGTTGCAGCGGAATCTGAGTTTACCGAATCGAGCCAAACTGTTTTACTGTATGAAGTCAATGCTCCATTTCTAAGAACATCCCTATGTTCTTTTAGCAAACTGTACATACTCTCGCTTTAAACTTCCCCCAAGGGTCACAGAACCCTCACTCTTAAAATGCCAGATTATACCATATCCCATCACTGTTTTTACAGTGGAGTACGAGGCATGAAGTCACTGAGGTTTCTCCTTCTGAAGATCAAAGTTAATAATGCAGCTTCACATTAAATCTCCATACATAACTTTCCCAATCTGAGCTTCTTAGTCCAGTCAACCTTATGAAACACAATGCAATCTGTCTGATTGAGGGGTCACTGTTTAGCAGATCAGTGCTGTGAGGGTGAAAGCTGATGCTCTAGAAGTCCTGTCGGATGTTCTCCTTGTTCTCGTCCCCCTGCTGCTGTCTGAGCTGAGTGATTTCATTCTCCAGCTGGACAATGGCCCGCTCAATCTCATAGTTCTTACTGACCAGAGACACCCAACTGTAGAGGGACGGATACAGATGTTAAGACAGAGGAAGTCTAACCTACTGTGATATAAAGATGTGAACTATTGGAACATACTTTGACTCCAGCTCTCGTAGCTTGCCTCCTCCTGCCAACTGATCATTCTTACGCTGCCAATTTAAATCCTGAATTTGCTTCCTGTGTACAAGATAAATAAATAAATCAATGAATGAATGAATGGGTAAATGTGTGAAGATAGGTTAGGTGACACTTAAGAAGCAGAAATGTTCCAGTTATCATTCACCTGAATTTTTGAAGTTCCTTTTGTGCCATTTCAATCATGAAGGCCAAGTTACTGCAGGAGGAAGACAAAGTGTTAAGCAGTCTTTTTTATATATCGAGTTACTGTCTGTGGGGAAATGCTGATGTCACATACTCGTTGTAGACTTTCCATGCGTTGGTTCCATACTGCGACATGAGTTCCAGGTTCTCAATGCGGACGGCCTGGTGCTCCAGCTGCGCCATAGAGTTGTTCACACACTCCTGCCACGCTGTAATGTCGTTCTTCTGTCCTGATGAGGGTGCTGGTAGCTCATATCTCCACGGGGGGGAAAAAAAAAAAAAAAGTCTGATGAAACTTCCAACATTTTGGCAAAAATAACTGTAAGGTCAGGCCTGTAAAGGTGCTAGTAAAAAAGCAGAGCGAAGACCTCAGGATGAAGAACATATAGGTGGATGAATTCCTTCATTTAAGCCTAAAATCTTGATTAGAAACCTCTTCTGTTTATCAAATGTTTTCAGTTTTATTTCAGTTTTGGACTTAGAAATAAGCGCTGGCAGGGAACCACCTCCACACACCAACTGTTAGGATTTAACAGTTTAATTGGAGCTTTATTTAGTTGGTTGGTTTGATGTTACATCTTCCAAATTCAGTTACCACACCCTGCTCTTTTATTAGTAGCAGTGCAAATATCTTGTGGCATATTGTGGTTCATTCGTTATAAGGTAAAGTTTATTTTTCAAACGACAGTTCTGGCTTAATATTAAAGTGTAGGGTTTACCTCTTCATGCTCAAGAGATCCATGGGCTGACGAGCAGCAAGTCGTTCAAATTCATTTCTCATGATTTCGGTCTGAAGGATGATAAGACATAAGAAATGCTGTTATTTTTACTGCACGGGCCAAAGCCATGAAGAAGGTTTCAGGGGTCAAATGAGTTTTGCACCTCAAAAGCAGAGAAATCAGGTGTGGGCAGGTAGCTCAGGTAGTTTTTGGTAGGCCGGTACCTTCTGGTTTCCTCCTCAACCAATGCTGCAGCCTACAACACAAAAAGAATAAACCTTTGAGAAGGAAAAACTGTCTTTGAACAGCTGCCAGAAAACTAACTTTTTTTTCCAGGGCAGATAATAAAGTCAAATTTGACTGGTACCACCAAAAAGTGTTTTACCGTTTGCCCATAATCCTACATTCTGGCACGAAGGAAAAACATCTTCAGGGGCATTCAGAGGAGGCGGCTCAAATTTCTCCAGATCAGAAAGACCAAAAGAACTCGATCTACTCACTGAGTTTATTCTCAAGTAGAATGCACACTTACCAGTCTTATATCACCTCTAAATAGAAAAAAAACTTTTATAATACACAATGACTATACCCTTTCTAACAAGAAGAAAAGGTTGTTTTGACCATGATATTCTTGAGGGTGTATTTTAATGTCTTAACATTTAGCTAATGAAAATAAAAGATTGATGATAATTTATTTAGTATTCAAAAAAATGTTGTCTTTTATACCCAGCCTTGTTAAAGCCCTAGGCTATTAACATGACAGACTTGATGGACAATGATTCACTCAAGTGAAAACAAAGTAAGTTTGGGGAAAAAAAAAGATTTATTCTCAGTTACAACACGTGATTATACTGAGAACAGAATTCTTTACATTTTCACACAACCTCAGGCCCTGATTTAGGAAATCACTGAAGGGGCAAAAGCGATCCCTCTATTTCCTTTCTCATCCTATAAAATTGCAAGAGGTTTCATGTTGCACTGAAATATTAAAACTGGATTGCAGATTGCAGTTCTCTTGACAATTTGAATGTGGTTTCACTGATCATTTTAAATGCTGCTGTCTTATCCTATGCAAGGAGGTAGGTGCAAGCAAACTCATTAACTCCTCATTTGCAAAGCTGTTAAAACAATGAAACTCAAAATTTGATGCATGTCATACCTAATTTCCAAATACACCCAGTTTTCAATTGGTAGTCAAACACTAGCAGGACACTGTAGTAGTCTGTCAAACCACCTGCAGATCCTCAAAAAACAGCTCTGATCACAAAGTGTATGAACCACATTCATTCTGTGGAGAACAGAATGTTCCCAACTATAATAATCACCTTTATTGGCCAAGTATGTTACACACAAGGAATTTGTTTCCGGTACAGAACCGAGGCAGCCATTTGCGGTGCCACCTCAACCGATGGCTTTAACCATCGGGGGCAACTTGGGGGTTCAGTGTCTTGCCCAAGGACACTTCGGCATGTAGTGTGCAGGCACTGAGATTCGAACCTTCAACCTTCCAGTTCAATGGGTTCTACCCATTGAACCACAGTCGCCCCTGATATTCTGCAACAGAGCATAAAAAGTTGTAGACCTTGTTCTGTGAGGTGTTTGGCGTGAACCACGGCTAAATTAATATGACAAATATTTGAATAGAGTTTGACGTGAATAAATATCAGCTAAGGTGCTACAGTAGAGAAAATGACCTTTTCCACATTTGGCATTTACATGTTGTGGCAGAAAGAGGTGATGCTGGGTCACAAGTGTAGGAATAGATAGGGAAAATTTAATTAATTTTGGGGAAATTTTAGCCAGAACTAACATATAACTAATTTAACCATTTCTCCACCAATATGGCTTAACAGAGTCAGATGTAATAATGCTTCACCTTCACCTACAAAACCCACTAGAAGCCTCTGTGTCAGAGTTAAAGTCTTTGAGTGTTTACATACTTGGCCAATAAAGCTGATTCTGAATAAATGAAACCAAGAAACTGTTAGTTATTAAAACACCTATGCTTTACCTGATATAAGGATGTCTGCTGTGAAAAGGACTTCTACATTAGTGTCTCAAGCATTCCTTTTGCACATAGTGAAATATTCCTGAGAGATATTTGCATCCTGATAAACATCTGTAAGTACTAGACAGGTGTTTTCCAAGGCTGGTATATGAGAGAGGAACCTGTTTAGGGCATGTTTCCTTATGTGGAAGTCTCCTTTAAAACAAACCCGGGAGGCATCTACATGATCCCAAATTCATGCTGCATTATGACAACAGCCACAAACATAGCCAGAGTAACAAAGGACTATCTTTAGAGGCAAGAAGAACAAGGAGGAACACAATAGATCGTACAGGCCCGACAGAGCCCTGATCTCAACATCTCCCAGTCAGTCTGAGGCTACATAAAGAGACAGACGTCAAGTGTACCTATAGCTAAAAGTAACGCAGTCTAATACAACAGTCCTGCAAACATCCTGCCTACAGAAAGGTGACAATAACCAGTTTTTGGCTAAATTGTTTTAGAAAGGTGTTGATTTAACTGTAGGTTTGTTTTGGAAGTTGAATGTTCTAAGTGGTGCCGTTGAACTGTATTGTGTGACAAGTGATTGTCTTTTTGTTGATCCCATTTATATAAGTGTGGCTAGGCAACCAACCAGGTTCAATGGTCACAGGCACCCTGAAGCCTTGGGTTCACTGGTCACTTGGCCCCTATGTCGAAATCTAGTTTTATGAACTTTTTAGTTGACACTGTGCTCACACTGTGTGTCCTGTATTATTGCACTGTGGAAATATAGAACAAATTGACAGGAACAAAAAGAACAATTTGAATAGCTTTTGAAAAGCAGAGTATTACAGTTCCGGTCACATAAGTAATCCCTGCTATTAAAGTCCCAGAAAAACTTGCTCATTTTTATCTAGTTTGCTTTTGATTTTCCTAACTTTAAATATAACGTAGCTACACTCCAATCTCAAGACGTTATGAGCTAATATATAGCCTAACTAGTATATTAGTATAGCCAGCTGTGAGCAAAATCAGTGCTACAATTTTAACTGCCAAATGCCCTACTTAATGTTTCTAAAACATTCCAGTGTGCCATTTTCATATTTAGGTGCAGCATAGGTTAGGATGGTTAGCTAAGCAAACATGCTTCAGTTAGCTCATTCACTGTCAGACAAACATGAACTGAGCGTTTACTTACCGCTTCTCTGACACCTGCTGCATCGTAGCCTTGATCGAAATATGGCAGAGCATCAACGAACACTTCGCCAGCTACTGAAGCCGTTCCGGCCATTTCTAATCAGTCTATGTTGTTGATTTTTTTTAAACTTATGTCTCTCTTAGCTATGGCTAAAATCCTTCTCAAAGCTTAAAAAAAAAAAAGGCTTTCCGGTCCCGACCTTCAAAGTAAAATCCTACCATGGAACGGCTGGACTGTGAGTTTTTGTAGTGACATCTAGTGGCGTGGAATGCAACTGCTGCTTGATGAAGCCAAGCTGTAAAGGACAGATTTGTCGACGGTGGCGGTAATGCGGTAATGCATCTAAAGAAGTTTGCCAACTGTCATTAAACAATAGAAGAAGAAGACATTTGTCATATTTTGGGCTTGAAGTGTATAGTATAAAGATGTTATTGAAATTAACAATAAAAAGAATAAAATGTAATGTATTCTATGTCTTAGGTTATATATTAACACCTTCAGTCATGTTTTTTCATTTTATATGGGCCCAGATGGATGGACATGGTTATCCACTAAACAGAGAAATATCAACTAACCTATAGTTACATGTTACCATGACATTTAGCTTGAAGCAAAAACAGCTATAATACTGATTTGGTAAATTGTTTTTTGCTTATTTGACTGCTATTTTCAATATTAAGTTTGTTTGACAAGTTATTTTGATACTGACTATCAAAATCACTTCCAATAGTATTGAAATCTATAACTCATTTCAGACAGTAACAACGCCTCCTGTATTACATTATGGTGGTCCTAATTAAAAAAAAAAATTAAATACGTACATACATTATATGGAACTGTTGCATACAAACTACCACAGTTAGTGAGCCCACAATGATAAACGAGCAATTTCCTTGCCTTTCAAACATTCTCTTTTCCATGCATTTTAGCAGAAGCAAACACACACTGTTATTTTCACTCTTTTAAAGAGCACTGCCATAGATAAATATTTTACCATAGTCCTATTAAGAAAAAGAGGAAGAGAAGAGGAAACAGCACAATGACATGATATCAATCTTCTCAACCATTCAGCTCTCATTTTGTTAATTCATGTGTTCTGACTGGCTACATTGCTTGTTTCTCTATCAGCAGTCTCTTGAATTGAGTTCAGCCTGTTTGTTTTTCACTCTTTTTTGTTACTAATGCAATTGCAGCTCACACAACTCACAGAAAGGTCTTCTCAAACTTCAGATAAAGGCATTTAACTTATTGCATTGATTTCAAATTGCATTCAAATACATAATAATGTTACTTAATAGCAGGTAATGCAATTGCTGACATAAATTAAGCTCAGATGCAGATCACCTGGGGTAATTGTACACAACATCTCCCTCATTCTCTGCCTCTTCTTCTGGTGTAGGGTGAAAGCAATGTATTGCTATATATTAACACAATATATCATTTTAATATTTAAAGTAACAATACCATGCTATAAAACTACATTTTTATATGGTATATTTTCACTGAAGAACATTACTAAACAACCAAATAGACCACAGACTGTAATCTCTCGGTGGGGGGGGGGAAAAAGAACTCCGCACAGTCTGGTCTTGTACGTCATGACGTACTCATACGTACTCTGGTTCGAGAAGTTACGGAGAACCATGCACAGGACGTGCAGCGGTTCAAAGAGGAAGGAAGATGGCGGATAACAAAGGCGAGGAGGATATGGAACCGTCTACTAATTCGGATTCAGTGCCTTCAGCGCAAGATAGCGAGCAGTCAGAGGCAAAAGATGAAAGTGCGTTAATAGTCATGGAAGCGAATACAAAGGGTAGCGAAGAAACAGAGCCCTGTGATAATGCTAACGAGGCACCTACACTCAACAGCGACGGAGGGGACGATAGCAGCGGTGGTGCTGTTGGCGCGGGAGAAGAAACCAATGGAAACGCCAGCGAAGCCGTTAGCCCGACTGGGACCGCCGGCACCAATACAGAGCCAGCGGCAGCTGAAACCCTGTCAGGCGCAGATGCTCCAGTTGGCGGGCAGACCACTGAAATGTCTCCCCCTCCTACCGCTCCAGTGGCCACGCCGGTACCCGCTCCCGTTAATTTACTGGATACGTGCGCAGTGTGTAAACAAAGTCTTCAGAGCCGAGACTGTGAACCAAAACTTCTGCCTTGTCTGCACTCCTTTTGCTTAAAATGTATCCCGCAGCCAGAGAGACAGATAAGTGTACAGGTACCTGGACCACACGGGCAAACTGACACACACATAGGTGAGTTTCTCACAAGCAACTGGGTCTACCTGTGAACTTGTCCCCTTCTCTGTCATTTGGTGTTAGGATGAACTGCTGTTGGTCACAAGTTTGGGTTTCAGCAGTCCGAGGGCCAAACGTAACCGATTTCTGATAGTAATTGAGATAGGGGGTTGACTTAACATGTAAATGCATGGATAGTAGACTTTTAACTATATGACATGATTAATGGATGCTGTTCATACACTGTGGCCTGCTGATCAACCTGACAATGCTCATTCAGCGTCACTTACTAATAGTTGGACTGGTGAATAGGAAGGAAACTGGAGTAGTAAACGGCTATTCATAGAAAAGTATTCATACCTGACTCCTAGAAATTTAAATAGCATGTCAACATGTAAACAGATACATTACCAGTAAACAGTTTGAACACACCTTCTCATTCACTGGTTTTTCTTTATTTTTTACTTTTGTAGATCAATATTGAACACATTCAAATTATAGCGTAAACAAAGAAAAATTAGTTTTGAGCTTTAGATGCCACCTTCTGCTGCTATAATATCATCCTTGCACTCTCTTGACCTTCTCTTACCCAGATTCCTGAAGCAGTCACCTGGATGCTTTTACAACAGTGTTGAAGGAGTTACCACATATGCTGAACACTTATTGGCTGGTGCTCTTCAGAGAACCAGTTTGAATTTAATGACTGCACTTGGAAAAAAAAAAAGTTTGAAGTTCTTGAAAATTTCCTGATTCACTAGCCTTTAAGTCATTACTGACTGGTTTTATTTACTTAGTTGAGTGGTTCTTACCATACTACAGTAGTGAAGTTAGGACATTGTCAGTAGTGTGCAAAACTGTCAAGTAGCTACTTTCAGGAATTTAAAATATGAAACATTTTGCATTAACACTTTTTTGCATACTATGTAATAATGTTATTTTTTAGAAATTTGATTGAAACCGCATATCTAAAAAGAAGGAAAATAATAAAAAAAAAATAAAATTAAACCCTGAATGAGAAGGTCAGTCCAGACTTGTGACTAGTACCGTATACATCATGATCATGTTTATTGTCCCAGCATATTTAAACATGAGGAATTTGTCTCTGGTACAGAGGCTTTCAATATGCTTCTAAGTAAGTAAGAAAATAGGAAAATACGGTATATGCATTAAAATAGAAAAGAGAATAGGAAGGGAAAAAGTGAACTATATATATAGTGGCAGAAGAGCTTACAGATTGTTAGATACAATAAATATATTTATGATTTAGGGCTATGGTTACTAGTAGCCTGCTGCTTAAATAAGGACTTGATGGTGGGTTTCAGCCACCACTAACTTCAAACTGGGACTTTGCTAGATGTGAGCCGTGCATATAACATGACTTTGATCTGTTCAATCCACACCGACTTCGACTTCTGTGCAGCATCTCTCGTCAGAACAGCTATCTGTTAGCTGGAGGACAGTAGTCTTCACCAGGCTGACTGGCGGCAGAAATGTACTGGACAAAAATAGTTTGCTAATCAGCAAGAAACTAGTAGCGTTTATATGATTGATTGCTAACTCTAAATTGCCTGTAGGTGTGCGTGTGCGTGTGTGTGTGCGTGTGTGTGTGTGTATGTACACATGTCAGCCCTGTGATAGACTGGTGAACTGTTCAGGGTGTACCCTGTCTCTTGTCCAGTGTCAATTGTGCATAACCTGTTCATTTTGCAGTTGCACCTGGTGTGACCATTGAAAAAAGTCAGTCACACTTGAACAAAATTTGGTCGCAAAACGCAACTGATCACTGGCAGTCTGCAGGCTTGTACAGTGTCTTCAGTGCCACTCAGAAGGGAGGAGTTCAAACAGTTTGTTACCAGGATGTGAGGGGTCTGCAGAAATCTTCTTGACTTGTGAAGAGTACAGGTCCCCATGGAGGGTAGGCTGGCACCGATGATTCTTTCTGCAGTCTGAACTGTTCGCTGTCCTGTTTGGTTGCTAAATTGAACTAGACAGTGATGGAAGTGCAAAGAACAGACTCAGTGATTCCTCTGTAGAGCTGTATCAGCAGCTCCTGGGGCAGGTTGAGCTTCCTGACCTGGTGCAGGTAGTATATCCTCTGTTGTGCCTTATTGATGATTGTGTTAATGTTGGATGTCTACTTAAGGTCCTGGGAGATGGTGGAGCCCAGAAACCTGAAGGCTTCATCTGCTCATACAGCGGTGCCAAGTATAGTGAGAGGGGTAGGGTAGCGGGGCCCCTTCTGAAGTCCACTGTTGTGACTGTTTTGAGCATGTTGTTCTGACCGCACCACAGGGCCAACTGTTGAACCTCCCATCTGTACACAGACTTGTCACTGTTTTGGATGAGACTGATGACCATTGTGTTGTCCGTGACCTTCAGGAGATTAATAGCCTTCTCCATTCATTTCTGTGGGGGAGTTGCGTTCACTGTAGTCAGAACCAGTACTGTAGGGGGCTCTGGCAAAGCGTGTGGGGTGGGGGTGTAGCTCACTATAATTTATAATGCTGTTATTACAAGCTTGTCTTAACAGTATGTTTGCTACCTTTTACTGTTTTTATAAGATACATGCATGATTGGTTTTGAGATACCTAGCAAAATCCCTGAGAGTCAAGTCAACAGCAGTTCATCTTTGTTCTGGGAGTGGACTCGGATTAAAGCAAAACAATAGTTTTTTTCCTCCTGCTCAACTAAAGCAGACCTGGGCACTCCTTCAGAGTAAATGTATATTTTATCTCTATCATTTCGTACTACTTAAAGAGTAATTATCCTCACAAGGCCTCTATTTTGAATGTAGACTCCAGGAAAATTAAACCTCTACTACTATCAGTTCATATTTTGTAGAGCAACTTTAATGATAATATATTATCAGGTGTCTGTACTGTTTTCTGTTTACATGAACCCCTACACAACAGTATTTATATTGCATTGCTGGACCAGAAAATGTAACCACAAAATTCATGTAAAACAAAACAGGGATTCTTACAAGTGTCTAACCATGTTTCTTTTTATTGAACAGTTTTTACCTATGCATGTAGTTTTACTTCCTTAGAGCACTTGCCACTAGTGTCAATGGAGAGTTGTAATATATATATTCTTTAGGTACCGTAGTAGTATTGGTTTCAGGAGAGATTCAGTATTACATGGTTCAAGTTTGTATATACATGGCCGTAATGTACATATCTACAACACTCCCCCTGCAACCCCTCACCCCTCCGACCAACACAGCCCTCTGTGATAAACACAGCAGGGAGTTGCTTTTTTTGTTTTTTTTTTTTTTTTTT